ATTATTAAAAATACATATAATTAAATTAGCAGAGTAAAATTAATTTTTGGCGTCTCTCTCTCTCTCCCCCCCCTCTCTCTCTCTCTATTAACTGATATATTTTTAAGAACTTCTTTTTATAGGCTCAGAATCAAAGAAAAATTATGATGCTAGCCAATCAACGACATACATACCAAGTAATACTTTATTCGATATTGAATACGATGGTGATACTATCTCCGGATATTTATGTACTGATGTAGCGTATGTGAGTCAACCAAATTTCACTTAACCACAATTTTAATCTATAAAAGTTTTCTTAAAAACATATTAATTTTGTGTAGTTCGATTTTAATAGCCTAATTGCTATTCAAAATCAGACATTCGGAGAAGCCATAAGCTATGAACGGCGAAAATTTCCGTTTTCTCCGAATTATCAAGGAGTCGTGGGAATGGGTTATTCCACATCAGCTATTACAGGAATTCCCTTTCTTAATAACATGGTTCAACAAGGCCTGTTGTTGCGACCTGTTTTTAGTATCTATATGAAAAGAGAGTATGTATTTTTGGTATACGCCACGTGCGTCTATATTAATGTCTTCTCAGGAAGTTACCGTTAAATGTTAAGAGATTTAATTGACAAAATTTTTTTACTTAAACAATTTGTTTTTCCACATTAGAAATATTGCTTTTTCCATATTAAAAAATATATTGTTTAATGTGTTATTAACTCCAACCTATGATGTGGCTTCATGGTAGATTTTTATCTTTATTATAATATCGACTTTTCCAACGTTTTAATTTGTAGGAATTTCATGTATTCAATTTTTGTTTCTAAACTTTTAATTTATTTCTTATTGTAAAGTAGAACAAGGTAGTTATAACACTGTTTAGCTGTGACAATCGCACATAGGTTATTATATTCAGCGCAATAATTTTCGTTTATGTACTATGTTATACAAACATAGACGTGTATATACGTATTTTAGTTACTTATTGTTAGTTTAGTTACTTATTTGCATTTTTCAATTTTCTTCTTGGCTATATTGATTATACCTGCTTTATCTTAATTATTTGGCTCAAGAAGACTTAATATAGTTGAAACATTCCATACATAAATTATTAATGAATTACTGAATTAATTCTTTGTTAATGTTTCAATAAACTAGTTTTAATCTTTGATCCAATTAATTGCTCGTTTATTTGACTAATTTTATTAAATAATGTATAATTTTTATAGATTCTTTACATCTGAAATAGTTGGTGAGCTGATACTTGGTGATATCGATAGCAGTCTTTATGTAGGCCAATTAACGAATGTTAATGTTACTCGCAAAGGATACTGGCAATTTAACATGAATAAGTACGTGATTATTTTCTAAATTACACTTACATATGTTAATCACGGACTATATGCTAGTTAATTGTTAATGCTATCGTGTACTTTAGAGTTCAACTAGGAAATAATATCTTATGCGAGAATGATTGTCAAGCTATTATCGATTCGAGCAAACCCCGGATATCTGGACCGCCATCGGCTATCGCAGTTATTAATAAATATATCAGAACTATTAGTCCTAACAATCCAGGAATTGTAAGTAACAGATGACACTTCTTGCAGTAGTAATTCTCTTTTAATGATACTAATAAAATAAACCACTGACATAAATTAATAAAAAATGTTTGTATATTACTGGTTATATTAATAGATATGAATTGATAATACTTAGTTTTGTTTGAAGGTGGACTGTAAAATGATTTATAAGTTGCCCGATCTCTATTTTATCATAGGTGGAAAAGTATTCGAACTCACTAGCGAAGACTATATGATTAAGGTAAATATTGTTAAATAACGCCGAGACACTACCGTGTTTCCAGATAACGTTTTAAATTTGCTTTAGAATAGAAACATCATAACGTATTCAATTCATTACAGTCTACGTTAAGCTATGACACATCGTGTATAAGCCCCTTCGAAGATAATAACATTTCGGATAAAGACGGTCCAACATGGGTTTTAGGCAGTCTATTTCTCCGTCGGTATTATATAAAATTTGACATGAGGAAAAATCGAATGGGATTCGCCTATATAAGATAAATAATTTCTTAAAATGTTACTGTTAAATGACAGAAGATTTAAATGACAATAATTAGAAGTTTTTTTTAAAGCATTTATCCTTGATTCTTATGGGTGTTATCTTGTAATTCTTATTTACAATTACCTAAGCGATACAGTTAGATAAATACGTATGTTGTATTTTAGAAAATTAGGACAGAGATGTGCAACATCATTATTTTTACTCTAATGATTTAGAACATCCTATTATTTCAATATAATATTATATTGTTACATAATATTATGAATATGATTAAGTCTATTATAATAAAGTACCTATACATTCTTTTCATAATACACAACTATTTAAGTATGTATGTATGTAATAAAGCATTATATTATTGCTTATATAAACTCATCTTATGAAGACGAATAATAAATATTTTTGAAGATTAATTTTATATCTTTTTTGTTAATCGTTGAATTTATTTGAATATGTCGTATCTACGCGTATTCGCGAAACATAATTTTTTTTTAAATTGAGACCAGTTTAGTGAAAAGAACTGTTGGGATCACTTTCAGAACGCTTTTCACTCTTTGTTGTTATTCTTATAAACACAAGGTACGTAAGTTCGTATAGAAACGGCATTGATGGAGTGCTAATGGTTGATTGTGCTCTTTTTCTCTGTGTGTTTCAATTAAACTGATTCACGAATAAGAATTACAACGCTTCTAAAATCTGGTTGATTTTTATATTTTTAATATTCAGGAAATTCGGGGAACATGTTTCGACTTTTTGTGATGATTGCGATACTTTTTGTGCTGATCAACGCGAAATTGCTAAGGTGAGCATATCAAACAAACGTTTGATTTTAGATAAATGCAATAATCAGAATAAATTTGTAGAAAAATATACATTATGTGTCAGAAATATAATGAAATGTTTCTGAAGATTCCTTTGAGACTTGCATTTTTCATCATGTCTTGAACAATATTAACGTTACAAAAAAGTAATTCACATTTAAGTCCGGATCTACAATAAATGTATTAAGCCTTAAGGCATAAGAAATTGTCCAATTACAGTTGAATACCAGGAAAATTATTCACTATGATTTGTCCATTTCTTGTGACTTAAGGCTTAAAAACTGATTGTAGATCCGGGCTAGAATAGCTAAACATCATATGATACATAAATAAACATACAGTATTTATTTTTTAATACCAAAATATATGTGTGTTGAAGCTTTATTTATACTTTTAAAAAGTATTTGAAGATAACCAATCGATTTGTCCGAAAGTTCTACATACGTTATACGGTACTCGTATATTCATGTATGTATGGTACATTTATACGTATAATATAATTGATATATGTAGTATAAATTCACACAAGAATCATACAAGCATTTAAGATCTAGCTAGACCGTTTAAGGCTTTGATTTCTATAGTTTGTGTTAACACATATACGGTTCTATAATATATTATATTGTTTAACATAATTGAGTTTTCTTTATGTTGCTTCAAGAATTCCACTGCACAAAACAAATTCTACTCGAAGATCAATTGGCATCGATCATCGATGGAGTCGTTCGGCTTTTAGCGTTGTAAGAGAATATTTGATTAATGATATAGATTCTGCATACTATGGCATTATCTCAATTGGAACTCCACCACAGGAATTTAAAGTACTTTTCGCCACTAGTTCTCCACATTTCTGGGTACCATCTATAAATTGCGATGATTTCTCTACTTGCTGTACGTATTATACAACGTTATTTATTTATTTGGCATATTGTTTATAGTATTTATACAAATATGTTTATATTTAATAATATTATATTTGTCTCACATATGAGAATAATTTTAATTGCTTTTTTTATTTTATTGATTGATGTAAGTAAAGTAGAAGTGTATAATAGGAATAATGTAGTAGAATTATGTCTCTTTCATACATATTTCAAGTTAAATTTTTTTAATGTTTAAAATTTAAAGTTTTAAAGTTTCACAATTTAAAGTCACTGAGTAAATAAATATTATATATAGAAATATAAGTTTCACATTTACATACAGCTTATTTTATATATTACGCTTATTCTAAAGGTACAAATAATATTTAATACAATTCATGCGTTGTAGCAAAAAATATAAATATAAATATATTTGATTTAAACTATCGTTAAATATACATATATTTAAATGAATAAAGAGTACGCTATTGTTAAGTTTAAATTATTAAAAAAAATAATAGAATTTAATAATAATTTAAATTAATAAATTATTGTTAAATATAAATATATTTAAATGAATGAAGAAATATTAATATTTGGAAGCTGTTGTATTAACTGATATATTTTAACGAACTATTTTTTATAGACAAATATAATAAATATGACGGAATTAAATCGAACACATACGTACAAGATGATACTCCAGTGGATATTGAATACAATAGTGGTGATTTGTCTGGATATTTATCTTGTGATACAATGAATGTGAGTCATCAAGCAAGTAGTTCGATTTCATCTCAATTATAATCTACAAAAATTTCCTTTAAAAAAAAATATCAATTTTGTGTAGATTGCGGGTCTTAACGTTCCACATCAAATATTTGTGGAAGCAACAAGGATACAGCGATATAGTTCTCATTCGGTGGAATACGATGGTATCTTAGGAATGTGTTACCCCATAAGAACTGCTGAAGGAACGATTCCTGTTCTTACAAACATGAATCAACAAAATTTGTTATCGAGACCCGTTTTTAGTTTCTATCTAAAGCGGCATGTATCTTTTTGTATATATGTGTGTGTGTGTGTGTGTGCGCGCGCGCGCGCTACGCCTATCTAAAAATTTTTTACTTAAACAATTGACGGTCTTTCTATATTAGAAAATATTATTTTATATTAAAAAATATATAATCTGTACAGATATTCTTCACCAGTTGATAGTGAATTAATAATCGGTGGCTCTGACCCCGATCTTTACGATGGCGAGCTTACGTATGTTCCTGTTACCAACGATGGATACTGGCACTTTAAGATAAATCGGTTATTATTTTCTAAAGTACACGTATGTCAATACGCGAATTATATGTCAGTTATTTGTTAATGCTATCATATTTTAGAATTTATATAGGACATAGCAATATATCCTTATGTAATTGTGAAGCTATCGTCGACACAAGCACTTCCTACATAATTGGACCGTCAAGGGAAATCGAAGCTATTAACAGATACATAGGACTTGAAATTAATAGAGTAACAATTGTAAATAATAGATAACTCTGCAGTGGTTCTTTTGTAACAATATTAAATAAATTACTAAAATATACTAATAAATATTTGCTAACATTAAGCTTTGTTTAAAGATAAAGTGCGGCAAGATTTATAATTTGCCCAGTATCTACTTCGACTTAGGTGGTAAACCATTCGAACTTACTAGTGAAGATTATGTTATTAAGGTAAACATCGTCAAATGACATTGTAAATTTTAGAATAGAAACATATTATGCGGCATTCAATTTGTTATAGATCAAACGATATAATCAAACTATATGTATGAGCGCATTTAAGGATACGGTTTTGTATGAGAACAGTCCGGTGTGGATTTTAGGTAATGCATTTCTTCGTCGGTACTATACGGAGTTCGATATGAGGAACAATCAAGTGGGATTTGCTGCTGCAAAATAAATAATTTTTTAAATAATTATTGTTAAATGCCAGAAGATCTAATAAATGACAATAATAAGCGTACAATTAGGTCAATTTTTTTTTAGAAAATTGTTGATTGATTCTTATGCTTATTGCCTTGTAATTTTTATTTGTGATTACTCAAATAATATGTTCTAAGGTATATAATAAGGTAATAAAAAGGTGTATATCATATTTTAGAAAATTGAAATGGAGATATGCAATATTATTTTTATAAATGATAAAATTTTACACTCTATTCTTTCAACATAATATTGTATTGTTACATAACGTTATGAATATAATTAAGTTTATTAAAATAAAGTATATTCTTTCGTATATTGTATATTGATTTCATATACCGACTATTTCTATTTTATTTAAATATAATGTTCCTAAATTATTATTTCATATATTATAAATTTTCTTTTTTTATACAAGTATTATATTATATAATATCATTAATATTACAAATTTGTATTTTAAACATATTTTGAAGATCTTGGACTAGATATTAGATAGTGCTAAATAAATGCAGTAGAGGAAGATAATCAGATGTGATTTCGATGCATGTATGAGAATTATATTTTTCGAATAAAATTCGCTTACAAGTTGAAGAAATTATTTTAATACAAGTTTCAATGATTCGATAAAAGAAGATGCTATATTACACTACATAATTAATAATAGTTAAACATTTCGTGAAGTGTGCACTACATAATTTTATTATTTTTTTCGCAAGATTCAATCTATAAAAAAAAAGCTTCAAATAAAATTTGCATAAAATCGCTTTATTAATTCCAAGCTAACATTTCCGGGATTTCGTTGTTTGGCTAGTTTTTAGTTTCTTTCCTGTACTCTTTTTGATTCCTATTTGGTTCTCAGATCTAGAAACCGATTGACCAATTATCAATTCCAATATGAAGACTATAGTGGCGCAAGTATATCCCATGATGAGAAAATAAAAGCTGAACGCAAGCTGCTTCAGTAACATCACTTTAAAGTCTTTTTTCTTTGTATGATTCCTGCTGAATCTCTCGCGTCTAATTTCCATGACAGAGTCAGCTCGGGATTTTACGATTAAGCCGGCCTGCGTCATGTGTCGAATAATATTGTTCACCCGTTGGTACAATGGCCAATCTTCGCGAGTGACATACGATTTTGTCAACTCTAACAGTATTCTCGATTTAATAAGGTCTTGGCCCTTAATTCTGTAGTGCAAGTGGTGACAGTCCCCCAAGCACGCAGCGTTCGTCGAATTCTCTACGAATTCCTTGCATTCTTTATACGTGACCTCCACGTAGCGCGATTCCAGTACAGTATCGTTCAATAATAATTTGAATTGACGCGGTCCGTATATAATGTATCCGGATTTCTGTAAAAAGAGATAAATATAGTTCAAATATCAAACATATTGTACTACATTTAATATATATGTTTATATATATGTATCAAATGCATTATAATATATTTAATACATATATATGTGTGTGTGTGTGTGTATCAAATATATAAATAAATATCTACATACACACATATCACGTATTATCGATTAGTGATACCGTGCTATCAAGCATCAGTAATTTTATTTTAAGAGGAAAATAGTTTTTATTATTGTGTTAAAGGGATTTGCGTGTGTTAAATAAAATTTAAAACAATTGAAGTTGTAATAAAATAAAAACAAAATTATTAAAGCCATTAGCTTCAAAACCTTCTCTTTTTTATTTAAAGATATATCATTCGACATTCACTATTCTTTTGCAGAACTCCGTATCTACCTCACAAAAGATGGGAAAAGACGACTCTGTTTTCGTTTAGTTTATGTTGATTATAAATAATATGAATAAAAATAAATATTTAGATTTGTCGTCGTGTATGTGAAAAGCGAACAATAAAATAAAACTTTATTATTACCTTAAGACTTTCTATGGTGTCAATATCGCGGTAATAAATAGGCACGGTGAGCAATGCCGACAGGTGGCTTTGGAATAAAGCGTTTATGTTGAGGAACAAAATTAATATCATGCATACAAAAATTCTGGTGGAATTAATTTTTGGCGGATGTAGAATTCCCACGCAGATCACAAGTCTTATCACCTGTAAGCTGGCTTTTATGTACCCCTCGCTCTTCGTGAATAGTACATAAGCCAACAGACACATTATGACTATTCCTACTATCACTTCTGGTGACATAAACTTTATCAGCTTGGTATATTGGGAGACTTTTGAACGTGGTTGTGCTATCACACAGATACCTGTTCTTAGATGGGGATATGTGTATCTGAAAGATAAATGTTATTTATTATTATTATTATTATTATTATTATTTATTAAATATTATTCTACATTAATGTTTAATATTTATTATGAGATATTATATTACGATGGCGTCGGACGATAGTCAGCTATAAAATTTCAAAAATTTTGACCCGATTTTCTCGTAAACTTGACATAATAGAGTTCTATCTTAGATTCGAATTCATAAAATCCGACTTTTTTTTTCAAATGATAAAGACAAATCAAAGGAGAATGTTAAGTTAGGGCCATTTTTCGGCCAAAATAAAAATCGAAGATATACGAATTATATATCATATTAAACGGCTACTCAAGCGGATTAAAATGATATATCGTTTATCTTGGGGAACATTAGAATTATAGGAAAATTCGCCTGAAATTCCGAGATTTAGATATGAAAAAGATTACATGGAATTTTTTAAATAAATACTACACATTTTTTCAGGACAATAGTAACGTATACCGAAGGTATTAAAAGTATTAAAAAAAAAAGCAATAATGTCGCTTTTCATGTTTTATTACAGCTGTTTTCTAATTGACGCTCATAATGCTTGCGACCATCATTTGTTCTTACTTTTTGTTAAACAATAAGGATGAAATGATTCCACAAGCGTTAAAAGCGTCTAGTAATATGCCTGCATATTCTATTCCTACTACGCCTTTGGTATACGTATAGAGATTATAACAAAGTTATGCTACAGTGAATATATAGTAGTTTTATCTTATTGCGTCATACAATTATGAAGTCAAATTGTACATCTTGCAGAATTTCTCTTCTCAAAAAGAAGCTTTTATAAATAATGCAATCCTTATTACTCAATTCTTGTTTTACTTTTTTTTTATTTTTTCAAAAAATGTGATAGCATAAATATGATAGATTTATTTGTTTTGATCACGATTTCTTCCATGTTCTTGACATTTCCCCAAGATAAGCGATGTACCATTCGACTTCACTTAAGTAGCTGTTTAATATGATATATAATTTGTATGTATATCTCGGAACTTTTTCATTTTGGCCGAAAAACGGCCGTAACTTAACATCCTCCTTTGCAGATCTCCCCCTTTCTAATTCATTTATTATTGTCTTACCTGGCTTTCCACAATATAAACAAGCGTCTCGTATTCATGCCAATGTCTATTTTGCCGTCGCTCAGAGGAGCCATCAAACCCTCTAGAGTACCATTCGGTCCTATACCGCCGAGTCCGTAGATACTGCCGTTATAAATCTTGATTGACAGAGACGCTTTCAATTTGTATAATAATATCTTGATGATTTCGCTATCATCGCCGCGAAATTTTTCTTCATCCGATAAACTCGAATCGATTTTTATATACGGTTCCATTTCGACGGCGTTCAATCGGACTTTATAGCCTTGCAAAGTTATCGTTTTATCGAAATTCAGATTTTTGCACATCTCGTCTGTTTCTAAAAAAACAATAATTGTCGTATAAATTCTTTAAAAATAGCTTGTGCTTCAAAATGCAGAATAGTACAAACAATATTAGTAATTTTTTTGGTCTTGGAACATTATTGCTTATTAGTTTTTATTTAATTCTAATAAAGTTTATTTTTTAATACATCTATTTGGAAACATGTATTAGATCTTATGATGCTATAATTATTTTTTTTAATATCGTAACATTTTAAGTCTTTTTAAGTTTAATTAAAATTTCAAATCATTATGTATTTAATATATGTATTTAACATATGTTCGTAACACTCGAATGTAATTAATAATGTGTTATAGGATAACGTAATATCTTAAAGAATGTTTTAAATAAAATTTATATAATATAAATAAAGATAAAATTTCCTTTTACATTAGAAAACTCAAAAATTAATTCGTTTATAATGTGTTTCATCAGACGTAAATGAGTTACCCTTTTCAAATGTTCTTTTCAACATTATCCAAGGATGGCCCTCTCGTCCTTTCATGCGGCCTACTTCATTCCAATCGGCTGGCGTACTATTAGAATACGGATTAAATGTGTAATACACAATTCCTTCGTGTGGATCGATGCATGGAAATATAACAGAGAGCAAGTCATATTTCCATGCCATCCAGAGAAATGAACGAGCGTTTATACAACCTCGTGTTTCAGTTTCCCTATCAACTATAATATAAAATCCATCCGGATTCGCCCACGGTGAATCTTTTGTTCTCTGTAATGAAAATATGAATGGTGCGACGAAACTATTATATCATTTTTACTTAGAAACAAAGTTGATTAACCTTCGATTGATGAGCAGAATCACTCTAGACCCAAAGTATTTTGAGTATTCTCTAATTAATGGATATTCATTAGTTTTTGAAGGTTACTTGTATATTTTTTTTCATCGCAAAGGTCTAAAAAATCAAACCCAAAAACTGCTATTTTTTAATGTTGTTTTGTGTACTATATTTTATTTGGAGAATTCAATAGAGTTAAAAATGATTCAGCCACACAGTTCTCCAAAGAGTATCCGAGGGGGTAACCATTTAATGTAATCGTGGGACATAGTCCTCGAAATCATTATAAAATTCATATGAAATCTCTATGTATAATCCGATAATTACATATGCAACCACGATAAATCATTGTATAATATTAAATAAATTCGTATATTTTACCAAATGACTTGATATGTAGTGAAAAAAATTATTTGTAATCAGATGAAATCATATGATGTCATGTAACTTGTGGGACAATATTTCAGCTAGTGG